AGAAGTTTACCTCAAATTGCAGTTTTCTATGCTCTCTTCAATATAGTCAAACACTTGAAACTTGATTTGGAGACGAAAAATCCATTGAAAATGATTGAAAGTTTATGAGAGTTGTTGATATATATATATATATATATATATATATATATATAGTGTTAAAAATATTTGTATGTAGAATAGTCCCACATCGACTATATCATAACATTAGTTGTAATCTCTCTATATATATAATAAAGTCTCCATAGTACTTTTCAAAACACACAGTTTAACCTAAATGTCTCTTAGTCTCTCATTATTCAATATGGTATCTAGAGCCTACTAAGAGGCAATTCTTAGTCGTGTTTTACTCGGTTGACCCACTGCCTTCTGATGACAAATTTTATTTGCAAACCGTGTCATTACTCCGGTTTGCCTCCCACTTTCTAAAACTCTCTGGTAACCACTGAACTGCTGCCGCCATCCACCGCTACTAATTTCGGAGACCTTCCGGCAAAAGTGCCTCGTTCGATCCATCATATTCCGACGATTTTAACACCACCACACTCGCCACCGTGCAACTTTTCCAAATCCGATACTCGTGGCTATTCGAAAGTTTACGCAAAACTACGATGATTTCCTCAAGTGGTATCAGAATTATCAGAACTCAGATTCGACTGCTCTGGTTGCACACATTGGTAATTCATTTATTTGCTTCTCTCAATCATCTTCTCTTGGATAATAAAAATCTTTTCTCTTCCCTCTTTACCTCTGGTTTCTTACCTACAATAACTTCTGCCAATGGTTCTCAAACATGATCCGAAGGAATTGATACTGTTCAAATTCTACCTTTTCTCTCCGTTACTTATGTTCTATTTGTACCTAATTGTCCATTTAATTTACTTTTAGTCAGTTGTTTAAGTCGTTCTCTTGATTGTATTGTCACCTTCACTAATAGTAATGTCACCCTGCAGGATCGAAGTTCGGGACGGATAATTGGCATCAGATGCGAGTCTCAAGGTCTTTATTACCTCTCAGTGTCATCTCAGACATGCTCAGTCAAAGATTCTCCACTCACAATTCATGCTCAGTTAGGTCATCCTAGTCTTCTCAAATTACAGAAGTTGGTGCCAAATTTATCGAAAGTATCTAATTTACATTGTGAGTCGTGTCAGTTAGGGAAACACACTCGTAGTCAATTTCCCAATCGAGTCAATAAACGAGCTTCGTCCCCTTTTGCTTTAGTTCACTCCGATGTTTGGAGTCCCTCACGTATTATCTCTACTCTTTAGTCTAGGTGTTTTATCACCTTTATTGATGATTTTTCACGTTGCACGTGATTATTTTTAATGAAAAATATATCAGAATTATTTTCTATTTTTAAAAAAATTTATAAAGAAATAAAAATTCATTTTGGTGTGTCTATTCGTACCTTAAGAAGTGATAATGCTCGTGAATATTTATCCCAACAATTTCAAAATTTTATGTCCAGTAATGGTATTCTCCATCAAACATCTTGTCCTCATACACCTCAACAAAACGGGATAGACGAACACAAAAATCGACATCTTATAGAAATCACTCGGACCCTACTTCTCCATGGTAATGTTCCACTTCGATTTTGGGGAGACGGTGTGCTAACGGCATGTTACCTTATAAATCGCATGCCATCATCTATCCTTAACAATAAAATCCTTTATTCAATCTTTTTTCCCCATTTCACCCAATTCCTCCCCGAATCTTCGGGTCTACATATTTTGTACACAATCTCTCTCCTGGTCTTGATAAACTATCAGCTCGATCACTAATGTGTATTTTTCTTGGTTATCATCAATTCCAAAAAGGTTATCGTTGTTATTCACATACCCTACAACAATACCTCATGTCAGTTGATGTCACTTTCTTCGAGTCTGTTCCATATTTCGAGTCCAGCCAAGTAACTCTGGAACCCTTTCAAGAGAGTACTCACACACCTCTTTCGAAAGTCTCATATGTCATTATCCCCCATCATTCTAGGGAATCTGGCCCACTAGATAACCATATGGTTAACCCCCCGACTTCTCGTCCACTTTAAACATATCAGCGTCGTCAACCAACGTTTGTCGTACCTGTCCCTGAGGTCGTACATGCCCCTGAGGTCATTGCAGACTCTCCTCTGACGCTCTCGCCATCACCGAATTCGATCCTGCAACATGATTTCGATCTTCTGATTTCCCTTTGAAAAGGTATACGTCAAACATGAAATTCGTCTCCACATTATATTGATTTATGTTATCATCGTCTTTCCCCTTTGCAGTATACTTGTTTGTCTTCTTTGTCTTCTGTTTCTATTACTAACACTCCAGGTGAAGCATTATCTCACCCTGAGTGGAGGCAAGCAATGATTGATGAAATGTGTGCTCTTCAAAGCAGTGGTACCTGGGAACTGGTTCCTCTACCCCTGGGAAATCTTTAGTAGGTTTTCGTTGGCTTTATACAGTGAAAGTTGATCCAGATGGTAAGATTGATCGATTTAAAGCCCGCTTGATAGCCAAAGGATACACTCAAATTTTTTAATTGAATTATAATGATACCTTATCTCTTGTAGCCAAGATGGCATCTATTAGACTTCTTCCAGCCATTGCAGCCATTCGACATTGGCCTCTTCATCAACTTGACATTAAAAATGCATTTTTACATGGTGATCTTGAAGAGGAAGTATATATGGAGCAACCACCTGAGTTTGTTGATCATGAGGAGTCATCGAATATGGTTTGTAGGTTACACAGGTCTCTTTATGGTCTTAAACAATCTTCGAGAGCTTGGTTTGGCAGATTCAGCACTGTAGTACAATAATTTGGTATGGTCCATAGTGAAGCTGATCATTCCGTCTTTTATTGTCACTCAGCCCAATGGTGTATTTATCTTATTGTGTATATAGATGATATTGTCATAACTAGTAGTGATGAGCAGGAAATACTCCAGTTGAAACAACATCTCTCGAATCAATTTCAAACAAAAAATCTTGGTAAAGTCCGGTATTTATTGGGTATTGAGATAGCCCAATCTAAATATGGTTTGGTGATTTCTCAGTGAAAATATGCTATGGATATTTTGGAAGAAACAGGTTTGTTGAACACCAAACCAACTGATACTCCCATGAATCCAAGTGTCAAACTACTATCCAATTAGGGGAGCCTCTATCAGACTCAGGAAGGTATAGGAGATTGGTTAAAAAGTTGAATTATCTCACAGTCACTCGTCCAGACATTTCTTTTGCAGTAAGTGTGGTAAGTCGGTTCCTAAATTCTCTTTGTCAGAAACACATGGATAAAGGACATACCCAGATAATTAGATACTCTGATGCTAATTGAGCAGGATCACCAATTGATAGACGATCCACCTCTAGGTATTGTGTACTTGTTAGAGAAAACCTTATATCTCATAAAAGTAAGAAACGAAATGTAGTTGCAAGATCAAGCGTTGAGGCAGAGTATAGAGTCATGGCGATGGCAACATGTGAACTTGTTTGGTTAAAACAACTACTCAATGAACTTAAAATTGAAGAAGACCAATGACACTTATTTGTGATAATCAAACTGCATTGCACATTGCTTCAAATTCGGTCTTTCATGAGCGGGCCAAACATATTGAGATTGACTGTCACTTTGTCAGAGAGAAGATCGAGTCAGGCGACATCACCACAAGCTTTGTCAACTTAAATAATCAATTGACAGATGTGTATACAAAATCACTACGAAGTTCCATAACTAATTATATATGTGGCAAGTTTGGTGCATTTGACTTATATGCTCGAGCTTGAGGGAGGTGTTGATATATATATATATATATATATATATATATATATATATATATATATATATATATATATATATATATATATATATATATATATATATATATATATATATATATATATATATATATATATATATATATATATATATATATATATATATATATATATATATATATATATATATATATATATATATATATATATATATATATATATATATATATATATATATATATATATATATATATATATATATATTGTTAAAAATATTTGTATGTAGAATAGTCTCACATCGACTATATCATAGTATTAGTTGTAATCTCTCTATATATAATAAAGTCTCCGTAATGCTTTTCAAAACATATGGTTTAACCTAAATGTCTCTTAGTCTCTCGTAATTCAATAAGAGTTTTGGTTTTGTAACAGACAATGTTTCTAATATGCACATCCGAATTATGATAGTTTGAATTCTGAGTGACGTTGTTTTCTTCTTCCATAAATCAGCTTCAATGTAGAAAGTGTATAATGAAATAATGGAAATTTACCTCAAGTTGCAGTTTTCTATGCTCTCTTTGATATAGTCAAACACTTGAAACTTGATTTGGAGACGAAAAATCCATTGAAAATGATTGAAGGTTTATGAGAGTTTTGGTTATGGAAGAATAGAAAATGAATGGAATAGTTGGAATATGTGACCATGCAACATTCTAATATGTTAAGGGTGGTTTCGGAAATGCACTTCCAAACCTACCTATCAGCATGTTTCGAATGTGCATATCCAAAACAACCTAAGGATTTCAAATCAAACGTTTAAATATTAAAACGTGAAAATATGGTGTCTTCGGAAATGCACATCCGAAACATGCTTATAGATGAGTTCGGAAGTGCATTTCCAAAGGATATTTTTGGATTTTCAATGATAAAAATCACCACTATTAGGTGGAGAAAGAAATTCTCAAAAAAAAAAAGAGATAACTTACTCCTAGAGGAAGTGTATCCGACCCATCCATATGCATGCATGAATCCACACATACTCAGACACATAATAATGGTGTGACTTATCCTGTCAACACTCAGTGAAACAGAGAGCCTTATTAAAATTGTTGCAGTCCTCAATCCATAGTCCTTACTATACATACAGCATAAATACAGATCTGATCATGTACACACAAAAAAAGCTGTTCGACCTGCAAAATTTTGCAGCAATCAAGATGGGAAGATTAAATCACAACAGTGAGTCAAGGAGTGCAGCTTCTTCCTCCTGCGTGTAACACAGCACAAACTTCAATGAATAAGGTCAAACTTTATAACCAAATAAAATGTTACTTTGGAAGATTAAATCACATACCACCATCAAGGCATTAAATTCTGTCTCTTCATCTCTGGCGCTAATGACAGCAGGATCCTCAAGCAGTTCCTGCTCATAAAATGAAATTAGCAACTTCTAGGATTATGAAATCAGAATTTGTAGCATTTGTATGGGAGCTGAGAAAGAAAACACTAGTGACCAGACTCTGTAATGAGTGTGGAGTGAATCCTTACCTCGTCGGCAATTTGTAGCATTCCATTTTGATCCTGCACAACGAAAAGGTCAAATAAGTGTTCGGCTTTAGAACACTAGTTTCTCATGCCCCATAAATGAAATGTGGAAACTTAGTAGTTTAATACAAATTCCCATTGACACTCTGAAAAGTTTCCACTCAACTATAAAATGCATTTGATCTTCTCACTCCAATCATAATAAATGTAGAAATTCTAGTCAACTATAAAAGCATTTGATAGAGAGAAGGCGTCGCAGGTAAATGGAGTGAGGCCACTGTTGAACAGAGGAAATAGTTGCTCTAACAAACTTAAGCATGGAAGCTTACCTTTGCAGCAATAAAAACAAGAGGGTCAGATGGTGTATATATCATGTAGTGTTCTCCTTCCTGCAACAAAATTGTAATAAATTACTGTGCGCTATATTTCAAGGCAAGGCCCATAGTGTTAGTATTTGTAACACATCAGATATAACTTTAGCAAACTTGTATAACTATACGGGGGAAATGCACTAGAAATGTGTCTTTAAGTCATAACAAAAAAGCATGATTCTTCATGATTACAGATATACACGACAAATAAAAGCTCAAAGCAACTTCTTCATATCAAAATTTGGTTATGTGAAAAAAATGCAAAAGAAACGCGTCTTAACAAAAAGTGAGTCTCCATTACTGTAGATACACAATGAAAATAAAAACTCAAAGCAACTTCTTCAGTTCAAAATTTAAATGCATTGGTATAAATAATACTGATTCATAGAAGAAAGGAAAGCAAACATGATTGTAAACTCAACCATTCAATGATGATATTCCCGTTGTCCCTAAATATAAGCACTAATTTGACAAAAAATGTCCCTTAATAAAACCCTCTTTCAAATTACTAGATACACTTATTTTTTTCCAAATAAACTCCTAATTAATACCTCTAAATGTCTTGGAATATGAAAAGTCAATACTAACTCTATACAAATAGAAAGTTGTATACATATATAAGTAAAATAAAAATGGACATATTAACTACACTACTAACCTTTTTTTAATAAGAGTGAACTAAGCTATGAAGTCCGGACTCAAACACGGACACGGGACACGACACGGACACAAAGACTCCGCTAATATAAAAAACATAGGACATGGACACGGCTATATATATTTTATATATTAATATAATAATGCAATTTATGAGCATAATTTATAGAGTTCAAAATAAAAAATAACAATTTTTGTTTATTTAAACTTAGTACTTTCAATCAATTTAAAAAAAAAAAAAAAGATAACAGGAAACATGGACTGCATCATTAATACTTTCAATTTTTGTTTATTTTCCTATACAGTATATAACCGGTCCCCAGAAACATGGATTGCATCTTGGATACTAAAATCTGCATCCAAAGTATTAGGATGCATCATTAGATAGAATAATGAAAACAGTTCTATAATTTAGTCTATTAGCAGATTAGTTAGTTAGAAGGGAAAGAGAGGGGGATTGGTTCGATATAAATAAGAGAAAACAAATTAGGGAGATCCATTCAGTACATTTGAATTTGATTGTCTGTAAAGTGACAGAAAAGACCCTTTGAGAAGGACATTTGGAGTATATTCGTCCCTATCTTTAGTTCCAATTTCAGTGACAGTAGTATACACACAAATATAAAACTCTTTAGCAATTCTTTATAAAGTGGATGGTCTAAATAGTTTTCCACATGGTTACACAAATCATATAGGAATTGTATATAACAGTAATCAATAAAAATTTATAATAGAAGAATGGCGGTAAAGATAAAAATAAGGGATCTTAATTTTGTAACTAATTGTGTACCTGTGTTGATTCTATATGGGGGAAGTAAAATACAAAATTTAAAGAATCCTATTTTTGAGTTGGGCTTTTTTTTTATAAAAAAAAAATCTGAATTTTTTGTTGAGTCGTGTCCTATATTTAAAATAAAATGTCGTACCCGTGTCCGTTCCGATTCAATTTTTTTCCGTTGGACATTTCAAAAACGTGTCAAATACTTGTCATACGAGTGTCGTACAAGTATCCGTGTCCGACACGCCGTGTGAATGGTGTGTCGGCGCTTCATAGGAACTAAGTAAAAGATACTTATTTTGAGAGATGGAGGGAGTAATTTGTATTCTTGTATAGGTATGCCAGGGCAAATTTGAGGGTGCGGCATAAATACTTGACAATAAACCAATTTTTTTAATTTTACATACACATTTCACTTAGCAATACCCTAATGATATTCAGTACACAACATGCAACATGTTGGAAACTATTTTCCAATGATTGTAATAATTAGGAATCGCTAAGCATATTTTCTGATTTAGTGCCATGATATACCGGTTTCCTGAAATTAGAGAATGTAAATTTTATCCAGGCTGAGGAACTCCTCCGGCAACTCAGAAAAATTTAGTCCTTTTATAAGTACTGCTATTTTAGAAATAGAAGCATGTCAATATTGACATTAAACCCATTGTGATAATAAACATCAGCAGCAACCATAACACATCAAACAAGGTATTGGTAATCCATCATTATCCCATAAGACTTTGTACAAACATATTGAAATACAAGAAACATGACAACAGGAGTATGGCGAGGCTTTTACATCCTAAAATTTTAGTTTGTACATCATCATAAGTTTTCTCACTTTTAATATTTCAAACAATATTATCACTTCTTTAAAACGTGCATATTTCAGAAAAGTGGTAATTATTATGTGCATACTAGTATACAAAAAAAACTTGAGCAATAAAAAGTTACTATCCCGTATTGTGAATAATTTATAAACATCTAAAATTCCAGAAGAGTAAACAATAAACAGGGGAAAGCTTTGCTTCTGTTAAAGATAAACCTTTCAAAAGACCACAAAAATGCAACAACATGATTGTGCAATTGAAGTTAATATTACCTGATTGAAGTGTGTGATTTTTACACCCTCGGTTGCCAAGCCACCGCCTTGACCCTCTACAAAATAGAAACTATCAGCAATTAAATTTTGAGATTGCAACTCAAATGGTTATTCAACATATTATCATTTTATTTGATTTATTTAATTTAACAAGGTACCAAACTTCGTAATGGCGTGGAATGGGAAAAGGCACCTAAGAAATATTTCTTTCTACCAAACAACAATTCTTGACCCAATTCACACATGAAGAGTGGGTAGAAAAGGAAACAAGTCATCTCCAAAGACTTAATTAAGGGTCTATAACTTCTTCAATAACAATTATGAAAATACCAATTTGTTTCATGTTATCAGGATATGTATCGGCAATGTTGAAAACATGCATTAGCTTTGGTAAAAGTAGATACTGCAATGTCAGAGTTATGGATAGACAAAATAATAATATTGGTGCTATCAATTAAATGTGAAAGTAATGATTGTCACTATGGTTGTTAAAATCCTGTTTTGGATAGTAAAACCCCACAATTTTGCAATTATGCTTGCCCTCGCCGATTATGAGTATCTGCATAATCCTATTTTGGTCTATTTTGGTGGAATCTGGTAGAATCCCCCATATTAATTGTTGAATAGTATAACCTTATGATCTTTGAAACATTTATACAGTTATGCTTATGACTGAATTTAAATTTATATAAATATTTGAAGTGTGAATTAAGGTTTTAATCATCATACTTGTGACTTATGTTTATGATTTTACACTGCTATTTCAAGTGATTTAGGCTTTGTTTACGAGTTTGGAAGGGAGGGAAAGGGTAGGCTTCCAAAAACAAATTTTTAAAAAAATATAGGAAAATATTTGACATTTTCAGAAAAAATAATTTTGCATAGAATGATAAAAGAGTGTTTATCATTACTATAAAAGATATTTGAAAAATTTATGTAAGCCCTCCAAAACCTTCCTTAAATATAAATTTTGAGTTCCCCTAAATTATGGGGTTTTCGGTGTTATGAATAAAAGCAAACCCTCCAAAACCCTCCCAACCAAAATCCTTCAATTTTTTCCACTCAATCCTTCCCGTTTTTCAAAGCCCTCCCCTCTCTTTCCCTCCAAACTCGCAAACAGACCCTTAAGGTTTTCTTTGTCTTACTATTGCTATTTTATATTCATGTATATGATTTATATGCATAAATATGAGTTTTAAAAATTTGTATAATCTTAAGATTCCACGATTTACGATTTTTCTTTTGTTTCCTAATTTTTGCGTAAAAGTTCGATTTTAACTAGATAAGTTAATATTATTATCTTTAGGAGCTGCATCCAACCAAGTGTAAAATATATAGGAATAAAATGAACAGATTTGCGAGTAAAAAATAAGTCCTCATTCCTAAACAGCTCATATGACATGTTTCTATGCTAGTAATTTCATTTTCCTTTTAAAGGGAACAGTAAACACCAATTTCCCATGTAAGACGATGCAATAAAGAGAAATTCATCAGAAAGGTGGCTTTGGAATTAAAGGGAAGTAAACAAATAGCAGGGCCAAGCACTGACTAGTATATATTCAAACAAATTTCAAGCTTTTAGTAATCAGATAAACTATAGAATCTTAGCAACATTAACACCCATGTTATGAACTATAAAGTCTTGCACGATTATCTGATTATTACCTCTTTTTAGTTTATCATCTAGAGTTAGAGCCATAGAACATTACTAGTTTAATGAAAAGCAAATAATATTTACCTGCATGAAACTCGAGTATGTCTTCTTCTGAGTAACATAAACCACCACGGGCAGTATAACAGTATCTAATATGGACAGAAAAATATTTAGTGATCAAGCATACTAGTTAATTCTATAACTTTCTGAGTCATGAGAAAAGACAGGCATACAACATACCCACTATAAACCAGATGAATGCGTAATTTGGCAAGTGCGAAAGCAGCAGCAGGCAAAAGAGGTTCAAGCTCCTTGTAACTAACCTAAAAACATGGAAAGAAAATATGAAATCTGAATGAAGATTTGACAACAATGACTTCAATAAGAAAAATATTTTTCCATTAGCCAGGTTTGGCTACATAGACGCATCTAATCAAAAGATGTCATACTCTTTTGTCAGAATAACTTTTTAACTCATTTATATAATTTTCCCATTTCGTGAAGATTTACGGACATTTTAAGTTAGACGGTCAATTGCCTAACAAAACCATCCTTATTTATGTTGACTTAGGAGTTTATATGTAATGGTTGGCTGTGAGGTATAGCATGGACAAAGAATGGAATGAAGATTTGTCAATAAATGAAAAGGGAAATTGCCTTTATTTTTCATATAATAAGCAATTAGTTTTATGATTTATTATTGAAGATGGGCACATACTTCAAAATTGTTTCAGAGCTTTAACAAAAGTGACTTTACAGCTTTACTGTAAAAGGAGTGCACAAGATGGTATCAATCTCAAAACTAATTGTTTGTCCTATTTTTAAAACTTAGAAGTCCTATTTATTTTGTCAATACAATGCATTCCTAAATCAAGATTAGATGTAGCTGCAACGCAACAATGAAAATGCAAGCAAATTGATACTTCAATTATGAAATAGAAACTTACTTCTGACCATCCATCACCCGTGCTCCGTAATACATGGACAGGCCTGTAGTAAAAATTCCACAATCTAAAGTCAAAAAATGATTAAAAAAAAGTTTACCAAAATTCTGAATCTCTAGTATAGTGCTGGGTCACGAGAGGAGTCAAATTGCTGGAAATATTTCACATTAGGAAAAAAAACAATCATACAAAAGGTTTGGACCAGTGTTGTTAAATAACTGGTGCTGATATCATATAGCAACCGCAAAAAAGGCTGCTATGCTATTGGGATTTTGCTACCACTGCAATAGCTGTGGTTTTTTGCATGTTTGTGATAGCAGTTATGGCTTACATAACGGAATTTCTTGTTTTTTATTACTTTTTCCCTAGTAATATTAAAAAATATCATGTAAGCCGCCGTGACAAAAAAATTTCAAACCTTGAGTTGGTGATGAGTTGGGACATGCCATATTCCCTTCCCCTGTATTAGAGTAATACAAATATAGCATAGTAGAAATAGACTAAGGAATATATTTGTAAGCAGCTAAACTGTTAAGTTTAGACTGCATAGCCTCACTATATAAACTCAATCTTATCTTGAGATGTAACTAACTTTGAGAAATACAAAATCAGTTGCAACTAACTTTCTCTTCTCTCTTTTCTCTCTCTCTACTCCTTCTACATTTCAATTATGGTATCGAGAGCTTCTTGATCCATTTCAATGGCTTCCAATAGCGATAGCTCTAACAACACCGTCCAAAGCGCGGTGGTGCGCGGCGGTGTATCGTCTATTTTCAACCTGAAAAACGTGTTCAAAACGTTTACGCAACATGTAACACTGAAACTTGATGAAAACAACTTCAAATCGTGAAAGCAACAGATCGAAGGAATCATTCGAACGCATCGTCCTCATCGTTTGCTGGTAAATCCGGTTATTCCACCGCAATATCTCTCCGATCATGATCGCGCCGCTGATAAGGAGAACCCTGAGTTTCTCGTTTGGGAGCAGCAATATCCGCTGCTGTTTACGTGGCTTCTCACCACGTTATCTGATGTTGTGCTTCCTCGCGTGATCCGGTGTGTCCATTCTCACCAGATTTGGGACGAAATTCATCAATATATCTTCGCTCACACGAACGCGAAATCGAGGCAACTTCGTTCGGGGTTGAAGTCCATAACCAAAGGTGATAAATCCATTACTGCTTACCTTACTCGCATTCAAAGGATTGTTGATATTCTTGAATCAATTGATGATCTTATTTCGCATCGAGATCAACTTGAAGCAATTCTTGATGGATTGCCAGAGGAATATAATGCCCTAGCCTCTATTATCCAGTACCGTGCAATCTTGTGTCCTATCATTGAGGCAGAGTTAATGCTTCTTGCTCATGAAGCAAAGCTGGAAAAATCAAAGAAAGCCACTCTATCTGAGCCTCTTTTTGTCAATGTAGCTCAAGCTACACTTGCTGGTGTAGTCAACAATGTTCCTCAAGTCGCTCCTGACTCCACCAATGTGATGCAGTACTCTGAAACTCCCTCTTATGGTGAAAATCGTGGAGGTTTTCGTGGTGGAAGGCATAATCGTGGCAGAGGTGGCAGAAACAGAGTCTACTGTCAAATCTGTGCAAAGCGAGGGCATGATGCCAATATTTGATATCATAGACACACTGCGTTGATGCCTACAGCACAAAGACCAGCATGGAATCAATGGCTTAACCCTGCTATATCTCAACCTACTGCACCAGGTGGCTACAATCAATGGTTCCCTGCTCCTCCTGCTCAAGCTCCTATGCAAAATCAATGGCTTTCTCAAGCTCTCAAAGGTCCTCCTCTTGGTTTTGTTCCAAATTCCATGTATCAGCCACAGGCTCACTTCACTGGGACAGGCTTTCTAGCACCAGCTAATTTCACACAGCAGGTTTCACCCTGGTATCCAAATTCAAGTGCTACACATCATGTAACTAATAATGTTGATTATCTGTCTGAGAGTGTAGCTCTACTTGGCACTGACCAAGTTTTACTTGGTAATGGCCAAGGTTTGCCCATTACTTCCATTGACACTGCTTATTTCAATTCACCTTGCAAAGCACACACACCTACCTCTCACTCTCAGAAGTCTTTTGCTTGTCCCTCACATTACCAAAAACTTGATGTTTTGTGAGTCAGTTTGCCAAAGACAACAATGTCTTCTTTGAATTTCATTCAGATAGGTGCTTTGTCAAACCACAGGGTGATTCCAACATTGTGCTCTAAGGGTTTCTCAATAAAGATGGCTTGTACACTTTTGGTTCACTACAACCAGTTTCCAAGTCTGCTTCAAAGTCTTCTGCTTCTATAAATAAATAATGTGTCCAAGGCATCTGTGCAGCCAACCATGTCCAGTTCCTCAGCCTATACTATGTGGCACAACAGGCTTGGTCCCCCTCACCATGAAGCATTGAAGTCAACCCTGCAACTATGCAACATTCTTGTGCCTCATAAGTCTCCCCTGGATTTTTGTGCTCCTTGCTGCTTGGGAAAAATACACAGATTGCCTAGTACACTTTCACACACAAATTACAATAGACCTTTTGATTTGTTGTTTGCTGATGTATGGGGCCCAGCTCCTATGGATTCCAGTAGTGGCTATAAATATTTGCTTACTTGTGTTGATGCTTATTCTAAATACACTTGGGTGCTTCCTATCAAGTTAAAATCTGAAGTGCTGCTCACACTCACACACTTTATCACAACCATTGAAGTTCAGTTCTCAACTCATTTAAAGGCAGTTCAGACTGATGGTGGAGGGGAGTTTAAGTCACTCACCTCCTATTTCACTCCAAAGGCATTGCACATAGGCTTGCTTGACCACACACACACACACACACACCATCAGAATGGTTCAGTTGAGAGGAAGCATAGGCATGTAGTGGAAACAGGGCTAGCCTTGCTTGCTCAAGCAAGCCTCCCTCTTAAGTTCTAGGATCATGTTTGCTTGACTGCAGCTTATCTAATTAACCGAATGCCTACCCCCTTGTTAGAGATGAAATCTCCTTATTTCATGCTCTACAACACTGTCCCTGACTATAAGTCTTTAAAAGTATTTGGCTGTGCATGCTTTCCACACCTAAGACCTTACTCTGCTCACAAGTTCAACTTTCACTCTCAAGAGTGCATTTTTCTGGGATATTCCTCCAATCATAAGGGATACAAGTGTTTGGCTCCCACTGGCAGAATCTACATCTCGAAGGATGTCATTTTTAATGAGACAAGGTTTCCCTATACTTCCTTGTTTGCTTCTTCTGCAGCCTCCTCTAACACCTATGTTCCCAACACTACTTCTTCTCATTTTCCTCTTGGGCTTACTTCTCCCAAGGTACCAAATCATGTAGCTCTCACTGCCATCCCTATTTTATCAAGTCCATCATTTGTCCCTGCCTCACCATCCTCTTCTCCCAAGGTACCAAATCCTGTACCTCTCACTGCCATCCCTATTTCATCAAGTCCATCATTTGTCCCTGCCTCACCATCCTCTTCTCCCCATTCATCTATTCTTAGTCCTGTCCAAACCTGTGAATCTGCCTCTCACAGCTCATAGCACTCTCTCCTGACATTTCTCACCCTGCTCTCCCTCTTATTCACCCCCAAAATACTCATGCCATGACAATCAGGGGTAAGAATGGTATAGTCCAACCAAGAAAGCATCCTACCTTGCTTCTGACTGAGCTTGAACCTTCCTCCTATAAAATTGTTCTCAAGGATCCCAAATGGGTGGCTGCTATGCAAGAGGAATACAATGCTCTCCTCAAGAATCACACTTGGGATCTTACTACTCTACCTCCCAACAAGCAGGCCATTGGCTGCAAATGGGAGTTCAAGATCAAGCAAAATCCTGATGGGACTGTTAATAAATACAAAGCTCGTTTAGTAGCCAAGGGATTCCACCAGCAGCATGGTTTTGAATTTACTGAGACTTTTTCACCTGTTGTGAAACCTGTCACGGTGAGAGTTGTGTTAACTATTGCTATATCAAAAGGATGGTGTCTCACTCAGTTGGATGTTAACAATGCCTTCTTAAATGGCATTCTCCAAGAGGAAGTGTACATGGAGCAACCCCCTGGCATTAAAGCTGATGCTCCTACCATGGTCTGCAGGCTCAACAAAGCTCTTTATGGGCTTAAACAGCCCCCTAGGGCCTGGTTTGATAGGTTACACTTTGCTCTAAAGGCATTTGGTTTTACTTCAAGTAGGTGTGATCCTTCTCTATTTACACTCATTACTCCCACCTACACTATCTACATGCTAGTCTTGTAGATGACATTATTGTCACTCGCAACTCCCAACCTCACATTCAACAGCTCATTCAAAAGCTCAACTCTCAATTTGCCCTGAAGCAGCTTGGCATACTTGAGTATTTTTTGGACATTGAAGTCATCCATCATGCTAATGGTTCTTTGTTTCTCTCTCAAGCAAAGTATATCAAGGACTTGCTCTCCAAGGCAAATATGGTTGAATTCAAAGGGCTGCCTACTCCTATGATTACTAGTCTCAAACTGTCAAAACATGGGACAGGTGTACTTCAAGACCCTACTTTCTATAGGTCTGTTGGAGCCTTGCAGTATGCCACTCTCACAAGGCTTGAGATTAGTTTTGATGTAAATAAAGCTTGTCAATTTCTTTCCAATCCCTTGGAAAGTCATTGGACAGCTGTGAAGAGGATTCTCAAGTATTTAAAGGGAACCTTGCATCATGGACTCCTGCTGCAACCTACTTCTACTCAGGCACCTGTCTCCATTAAAGGGTTTTCTGATGTAGATTAGGGATCTGATCCTGATGATAGGAGATCCACCTCTGGGTCCTACATTTTTCTTGGCCCAAATTTGGTCTCTTGGTGGTCCAAAAACAAATCCTTGTTGCCAGATCAAGTACCGAAGTTAAGTATATAGCTCTTGCTAACTCAGCTTCAGAAATACGTTGGATTCAATCCCTCTTAACTGATCTTTAGGTTCCTTTTACTACTCCTGTGATGTTTTGTGACAACTTGAGCACAGTTGCCTTGTCACATAATCCTATTCTCCATGCCAAATCCAAGCATATGGAGCTAGACATTTTTTTCCTTAGGGAAAAAGTCTTAAGCAAAACTTTACTGGTTCAGCATGTTCCTGCCTTTGACTAGTATGCAGATCTGCTCACAAAACCTCTTTCTCCCCAAAGGTTCCTGCAACTCAGATCTAAGCTTCAGGTTCATGATAAAGTGTCCCTGTTGAACCTTCATCTTGAGGGAAAGATATTAGAGTAATACAAATATAGCATAGTAGATAGGGGTGTGCAAAAAAACTGGTTTACACGAACCAATTTTAAAAATTCAGTGCACCAATTTTTATAATCCAATTTGTGTTGGATGTGAACCGCTCCAGATCCATTTTGATATCAAAACAAAAATCTGGTTTCCATTTTTGATAACCAGTTGTCATACATAAAACCAAATGTATATGATATTATTATTAATGAATAAGATATTATTAAGGCACAGTAAATTCAAATTCGTGTAAACCAATTTATATAATATTCAAATTGAAAATGGAAAACTAGTTTATATATTTTATTTTATTTATTATTAATTAGTTAATTAGAGTGGTGATTAATTAAGGGAAGAAGAACTTATTAAGTTAATTGTGATGAACGATTGTTAATCTGTGTTTTTTTGTTTAACTGTTATAGTGTAGCAATTGTTTTGAAGCAGATTTTGTCTTGGTTTTATGATGTTTTGTTTTAGTTTTTTGGGGTTCTAGTTTTAGTGTTCTGGTGCAACTTTATCATAGATTAAAGTGTAATGTTTTTACTCTTAAATTGAATTTTACTTTTTTGCTTTTCAAAAAAATTATGAAAAACGATTTGTGCTGGTGTTTGAATATAATAGTATAAAAATGACACATGCCTTTGCATCTTGTTCCCTTCATTAACCTGAATTTTTTTCGTCTCTTCAAATTAAAAAAGATACAATTTCCTTATAAATCAATTTTAATTGAAAACCGGTTTAAACCGGTTTTGAACCGAATTGAAACCATTTTGCAATTTTAAATTGGTTATTATAAAAAATAGTTTAATTTTAAAACTAGAATCATTAAAATGGATTGGTTCTTAAAATTTGGTAACCATGCACACCCCTAATAGTAGAAATAGACTAAGGAATATATTTGTAAGCAGCTAAACTGTTAAGTTTAGACTGCATAGCCTCACTATATAAACTCAATCTTATCTTGAGACGTAACTAACTTTGAGAAATACATAATCAGTTGCACCTAACTCTCTCTTCTCTCTCTCTACTCCTTCTACATTTCTATTACCCCGTTCAATTAAATTTCTGTTTATGTACTCTTATTTGTGCGCAGCGCAACATGCTTTATTTTATATATAACTTATTTCAATCAGTGTTGTCAATTACAAATTTGCAGAAAATAGTGGATTGTTAAAATTCCGTTAAGCAATAGTGATATCGCACCGTCATAACATATCGTACTAAATAGCATATCACAGAACAATAGCAGCTTGTTGAAATTCCGCTATGCTATAGCGATATAGCGCACTATACCGACTATTTAGCAACATTGATTTCAATTGCATTGTGACTTCCGCTATTTGCCTATTACCCTATCCGCTATTTCTTATATTGGATTTTTGATGATCCGTTATTTTCCGCAATTTCCTATTAATAACTCTAGTTGAGACACAACATTTTTCACCCAAAACTATAAATATTGAACTTACATGTCAAGTGGGCATAGCAACAAGCATTCATCTCCTTCAGAACTGGTGAAAACTCTCCTTATCACACACTCCAAAGGTAGATTGTTTGTAGGATCAACCTGATAACAAGATATTCCTGATTCGCAACAATTCATATATAAAACTCTTGAACCCTAATTTCCTACACTAACACATTCTTATAAAATCTTAATAACTAACCATAACCACCTGCATATTCGATGCTCAATTACTACTTCAAAATTCAAATACACGTAATCAAATCCAATAGAACAGAAAATCACATAATAACAAGAAATAAAACTCACAAGTGTGGCAATTCGGTCATTGGAAGACTTGAGCAGCTTGCCGGAATCCCCTACAACGAAACCAGCCGGTGGACTAGGGAGTTGGGTTGGAATGTAAGGCGGAGAAGAACCGGAAGAGGAATTGGAATCACTAGCTTCCGTGCCACTCTTGTTGCTATTCTTCTTGTTGTTGTGGTTGTTGTTTAGGTTTTTGTTTTTGGTGGATGAGGAAGAAGAATGCTTATTTGGTTTGACATTGGAGGCGCTACAGATGATAGGTTGGAGGCGAGGACTTCGAATTGAGAATGATGAGAAGCGTGGTTGATTGAACTTTGAATGAGGATAGCAAAATTGAAGTCTCATTGAAGAGGGATAAACCTGTGCCGCCATTTTTGTTGTAAATTTCAAGTTCAGTTTCACTATCATCTTCTTATATCATTTGAAAACCGCTATTTACAACACTACTCGTAAATTATTTTTTTTCTGGCTTAAACAGTGATCTCGTCACTCGTAAGTTAGCTAGATTTTAAATTTAGTTTCTAAATTATTTTTTTTCTGTGCAGGTCTTCATATATTTATTTCATGTTGGTTTTAGTCATGTTCATGTTGGTTTTAGTCATGTTATCAATAGTATGTTAAAAAAATCGAGTTGATTGACGGAGATAATTTGATATTTGATTTATTATTTTTTATTCTTTTCATAAGAATGTTTGGATATTATATTTTACGGCTAATAAAAGAGAGATCAAAATAAAAGGAGGTTTTGGAAGTATCAAAATTCAGGGTTAATGTCTGATTGTAAATTGTTCATTTTGGATGATGACCTTGAACGAAATCTACCTAGTGATCCCAGAAGTTCAAGTGGATGCAATTGGTCCGAAGTGTTGAAGGAATTAGGGTCCATTATTAAGGAGATTGAAGTTGGCAAAAAGGCAAAGATGAAGATGAAGTTGGAGAAGAAAAAGAGAAAAGGAAATATGTTGAAGCTATTGTTCATTGTGTCATGGAGTTTATTCTTTGCTTACCACAAATGGTTGTGAATCTCTTCTTTTTTTTTTTGTCTGTTTGTTGTATTTTGATTTTAATTCTTGTAACATTAATGTTTTTTGAAATTCGTCCTTGTACCATTTGATGAATGAAAATGTTTTGATTTTGAACCATATATGTTTGCACTTTTATTGTTCCTCTTGCTTTGCATTTTGAGTGACACAAATAACATTAGAGGTAAAAAAAACAAATTGTTACTGGGTCATTTCAATTGAACATAACTCAAGCTTGATAATGTATTCAAAATACATGATGCATCCAAAATATAAAGGTTCAAACACTAAGGCTATAAAGCCAAAGTAGTAATGTAATCAAAATACTTTATACAAAACAAAAAGGCTTAAGCCAAAATACATGATGTAGTCATCTTGTTCAACATAACATAAAAACATAATCCAAAATATTAATGTCTATAATTTTCATGGTTGTGTAGAGTTATTTCCTTCTCCTTTGAGCTTTTTGCATTTGAGTACCCTTGCATTGTGAGTCACCAACTCATGTGTTTTGTGAAGCCATTACATATGCAACCTCCACAATTGGGACATGATCACTAGCATATTTACTTGAAGTTATAGTTTGTGAAGTAAGATCATTGACATTGGGTTAGGTTGTGTTGTCTTAAATACTGCATAAAGATCTACTCCAAGCATTTTAAATTCTTGGTCCACATCGCATTGACTTCCAGGCTGTTATTTAGTTGAAGCTTCAACTTGATGTTGTTGTTGTTCAGTTGGAGCTTTAGGTTGGGTTTGTTGTTGTTTAGTAGAAACTTCAGGATGAGTTTGTTGGTCTGCTACAGCTCCAGTTTGAATTGTTTGTGTTGCATTTTTCTTTAGTTTTTTTTTTTGTATATAGAATGATGCAATTAATATCACACATAAATTGTTAGTAACAAGAACATATTTGAATTAAGTTAACACCTTTATTTTTTGAGCTTCAGGGTCAGGCACCAAAATTGAATAACTTCTTGCATTATGGTCATGTACACCATAATTATTACAACAATAAGATGTTTGTGTTTATCCCTTGTTAGGGTCCTCATCAGATTCCCTCATCCTCAATTTCTTTGGTCTTCCAGAACCTCTTTTGTATGATGGAGTCAACATATCTTTAGTGTTAATTCTCTATTTTTAGGATTGGCATTAATTTTAGTAAAACAAATATGGCAGCAATATATTAAATAGGATAGTTAGCTTGCTAAGAAAATAGGCTAAATAAGAAGTCATATGTTATGAAGAAACATGTTGAGTTGAGATGTCTCATCAACTAAAGCAACATGTCGGACAAGATGTCATATGCAGAGTCATTCGACATCGTGACTGTGTTGGGTTGGACTGTTGGATTGGTTGAAGATTTAATGGAGGCAGAATATTCTGGGAATATTATGTTATCATATGTGGAGCTCATTTTGAAGATTGAAGAAGATTCAAGTTGATTTCAAGGAGTTTATTAGTTTCTAATTATGGATACAATTTAGGAAACTAATTATAGAAGCCATATTTTTATGCAGAAGATTCTGCAATGATTTAGTAACCGATTTGCTGAAGGTTTTGAAGCTCAGTCTAGTCCAGAAGATTGTTATAAATAGAAGGGTAAAAACCTAGTTTTGATATGGAATAGATTATAATGTTTACTAGGCCTTTAGGGTTTGTATTACATCGATAATTTTGAGCCTCTCTATTATCATGTTGATAAAAGAGTATGACTGGTGTTAGTTGAGTTGTAAATATGAATCATTTGTGAGCTTTTAAGCATAAGAGTTTATTGTTGTTCTTAGAGGAAGCTTGTAAACAACTCTAAGTATTATTCTTGAAGTTGACTTTTGTTATTATTCTAAGTGATTATTGTCTATTAAGTCGATATCATTGTGGTAATTGGGTGTGAGATGGCGGTTTCTCATATTTAGGAAGTTCCTAGGTAGAAGTTGTGCTGGATAGGGATTAAGTGATTAGTTGTAAATGAGAGAGCTTAGTTTTGAATTAGTATTACTGATAGTGGATTTCCTTCCTGACTTGGTATCCCCCAGAGTAGGTGTGTTGATTCACCAAATTAGGTTAATAATTCCTTGTATTCTTTACATTCTAGTACTTTTATGCATTGTTCATATTGTTCATTGTGTACATGGTGTTTCGACATCCTTTAGGACATCTTTGATCTGAATACTAGAATTTTAATTGGTATCAGAGTAGGAATTATGTTTTGTTCTGGGTGAGATCAGGGAAGATATTTTATGGTTCGATGGACAAAAAATGAGGTTCTGTCAATAAAGGATCTCTGCAAAGAGATGGTGTGAATAAGAGATATTTAGAGGCGATGTCAAGAGAGTTCAGGGGTAATACTCCTAGAACATGTACAGAATCAATGAGTGTTAGAGGCTATTTGATAGAGGAAAGAGGTGGAGGATAACCCAAAGATGATCAAGACCAACTTGCTCCCAAAGCTATAGTGCTTCTGTTGTCACTACTAATGATTGTATTTGTGTGTATGATGTCTTACCAAATGTTAAGATATTGTGGTTGTTTTGTAAACCTGGACAATTCATATTGTTGTTTGGGTGATCCCTTGAAGTAGGAGGGTGGATTATATGTGACATCATGTTACTATGGTAGTAAGTTATTGTGGTTGTGTGTTTGATTTATTTTTCAAACCTAGTTGGTCTGGTGTCATCTGGAGTGTAGTGCTTGTGTACAAGAACCTTATAACATGCATGAAGGGTGTTTGTGTTTTGTATTTCGCTATAGTTGTTAATAATGTAAGCACCCTGGTAGTTCCTGGGGTCTCTGGTGTTGAGGATTTAAGAAGGTCTACTCTTGATCAGGTTTTCTCTGAAGATTTATCTTATGAAGGTGTAATTCTTGGAAGATTACTACAACCATATATTTAAAGGTGCCAAATATACTTGAAGATCATCTCAACTCCATTCATAAAAGCACTTATAAATATGGTTGTTAGACGGTGATGTCCTGGTATATAGATTTGACAAAGTCTAACATGAAGGCAACATATCATTGAAGAAAGACGAGAGTATGTTTATAAAGACTATATCCTGGTCTATGATTTCTTAGCATACTCATGGAAATATGACCACTTTTGGTAAGGATGGACTAAGTTGCATCCTCTAATGCTAAAGGATAAAAGGTGGTGTTGCTAAAGGTGTGTCTGAGGTGTTTTTATTGAGAAAAAGTCCTTTATTTGGAGTTACAAGACCTTGAAGTAATGTCAAATATAATATCTTGATAAGTTTGTGTTGAGAATTTATTTTTCTCAACATGTTTGGTTGGTGTTTCTCTTTAACGGGACAAAGGTTGTTGACTCTTACTTGAGAGAATATGGAATTTTAGTTCTACCGTAGTATGAGAAAAATTCAAGGGGTTATGTGTAATGGAGATGTATCAACTAGAGTTATATTCTTCTGGAAAATTAACTCACAGTTGTAGTGTGTATCATTCAGTGGTTGATATGAGAATGCATTTATTGAAGTATCATTCAAACCATTTGGAATGAATTTATCCAGTTCTAAGGCTTGAAGGATTGGGAGAAACATATGTATTATGAACAGTTTGTGAGCTGCATATGGATTACTGTGGGTTGTGTTCCAGAACCATAGTAAATAGTGCAATCTTGTGTTTTTGATTGATGTCTGAACAAAAGTTAGAACATCATCAGGTGTTTGCTACTTCAGAAAAGGAAGTTGTTCTTGAAGTCTATGGCATGAAGATTTCCAATCACCATTAGATTACAAAGTTGGAATGTCTGATCATGAGTATTGGTTGTGACGATTTGTCACAATAAAGAATCTGCTTGGGCTGGTAGGACACAAAAGAAGAATGTCATACCATGTGGTCTACCATTAGGAAGATAACGCCATCTGCTTTGTTTGTGTTCCTCTGATGAAGGTGTGCATATAACTTATGGCAAATATCTTGACGAGAGTTGTGTATTTGTCTGATGTGTTCTGAACTCCTTGCTTCAGAACGTAGATGAGAGGTTATTTCTCTCCATGGTTTCCAGGTAACCAAAATAAGATGCAGAAGAGGTGTTTTTAAGAGCTTGAAAGAAGGACATTCAAGCATAATGAGTCTTTGGATGGTGGATCAAGGATCAAGCAAACGGGTTCAATGATAAGATGTTGATGATGTTGTAACATAATGGTTGTTGTGATTATGGATATGGAGTTTAGTGCTCAACCTTATTAACAGAAGATGTATTTCTAACTGAGTGAATGAGAATAATAAGATTCAGATCGCTTCTGTAGTAGTTTGTTTGATGATTATATGACTTTTATGAAGAACCTGCTTGTATGAGCAATTGCTAGTGGAATGCAAGGGAGCAGTATCAGATAA